GGGGGGGGGGGGGGGTTGGGGTTTAGAGTTTGTGGGCTTAGGGTTTAGCGGTTTAGCGTTCAGGGATTTAGAGCTGTGGTTCAGGGTTTAGGGTGTTGCTTCATGGTCACCAGACACTCACAATTAAGAAGTGTTGCCACTAGTACCAAGGACCAAAGTACACGCAGTCTCATTCTTAGGGGCTGAGTAATCCTGCCCCCCAAAAGGTTAACCTTGTAAAATATAGTGGGGTTACATAAACCCAAAAGCTTAAAAGTTACCGCCTCAGCCGCTAAGCATTACTTGACATTCAAGGAGACCAAACTTTTGGCACACTAAAGCCGGCAAGGGGTGCCAGGGTCCAAACAGAGACCCCACATCCAGGGCACTAGGGTTTAGAAAAAACATGCTCAGTTTTTTTTTGAGGGCTGAGGACCTGGGGCTCATGGTTTGAGGCTTTAGGGTTTTAGGGTTTAGGGTTTAGGGTTTAGGGGTTTAGGGTTTAGGGTTTAGGGTTTAGGGTTTAGAGGACCAATCGCTATCTTGGCTACGACTCGCATGGAAAGCCTCCTTTGTCCATCCTGGTTCTGTATTTCTGCCAACCAGACCGAGAGGACACCTGTACGACACCCTTAAAACAACGTGTAATTTTGCTGGACGATGGTTCTATACCAACACCAACCTGCGACCTAGATATAGGGTAGGACAACCCGAACCGAACCCCAAAACTCAAGCCCAAAAAAAGAAAAGCCAAGCTCTGACCATAGACAAACCTCAAGGCCTTAGAAACCCAAATGCCCTCCTAAACCCCTAATTCCTTAAACCCTCAACCCCTAAATCCCTAAAGCCCTAAAACCGAGCAGAGATTTTCTGCCCGCTGCCCAAAGGCTCACGCCGGCTGGGCGAGTTTGGCAAGGCCTTCTTGAGCACCTGCCGCTTCAACAGCGACAAAAAACATACTGCAAACACCAACGGGCTAGGGTTTATAGAGTTTAGGATTTAGGGTTAGGTAAAGCAGAATGCACCAGCAGACCACCCCGAACCGCGACAGCGTTCCATAACAGCCAACTGACCTTGCAGAAGCCCGAGCAATCAGTCCCCACTTTTATGTAAGAGAAAATACATCAGCACCATGTAAACCACTACCCTGAACCACCATCGACTCAGAAAAAAGGGAGATGCCCTAAACCCTAAAGACCCTAAATCCCTACACTCTCAAAAGGGGGATGCCCTGAACCCTAAACCCCCTCAACAGCCTTAACCTACATAAACCCTACACAGCCCAAATCCCTAAAAGGGGGATGCCCTGAACCCTAAACCCCCTCTAAACCTACAGCCTCATGGACATACTGCTGATGGACAAAATCCTGCATGACCCAAATATAGTATAGTACCATAAATCCCATAGTTTAGGTATATAGGGTCATGCAGGATTTTGTCCATCAACCGTACGAACCTGGGTGAGGCAGTTGTCTTGCTCCGTTAGCAGCTCATCGGGCTGCCACTGCAATGCCTGTTAGGGTTTAGGGTTTCAGGGTTTAGGGTTTAGGGTTTAGGGTTTAGGGTTCGGCAGTTTAGGAGTTAAGGCTTAGGGGCTTAGGGGCTTGGGGTTTAGGGTTCGGGGCTTCTAGCGTTTCGTCACTGATTCAGGATTTCTACATGGAGGCTCGGGATTTGTCGGATGTAGGCACTGAGGTTCAGGGATGTATAGGCCTTTTAGGGTTACGGGTCCGAATTTATCAGGCTCGGGGTCGGGGGCTTAGGGTTTAGGAGTTTAGGGCTTTGGGTTTAGGAGTTTAGGTAGGGTTTAGGGTTGCGGAGTTTAGGGTTTAGGAGTTTCGGGTTTAGGAGTTTAGGAGTTGGGGTTTAGGAGTTTAGGGTTTAGGATTCAGGGTCTGCCCCGACAGTGCAATTATGGATTTCCGGGTTCGTGCTGACCGTTTCGGTTTCTATGGGCTCACAGACAGCAACAGCATTCAGCCAAGCTTTTCTTGTGGGTAAGCTGAAGGCCCTAAACCCTAAACTCCATCTGCAAGGGACGCAGGGCCCTGCAAGCCTGAAGCCCCAAAGCCTAAACCCTAACCCCAAAGTTTCAAAGCCCCAAACTCTGGACCTACTATAGGGGCCTAAATAATTACCAATAATATTTTGGCGGTTCCTGAGTATAGTGGGCCCCAAAACCCTATTCCGAGTACTCAGGCCCCCTACACCCTAAACCCTTGTAGTAGCCCTTATAGAACCCTTTAAGGAACCCGTTAAAGGCCCCCA